GAGGGGCACGAAACCATGTAAATAGTATGGTATTCCGATACCCTCCTCGCTCAGGCGGGGCCTCCCTGGAGGGGTGGGAGGGGCACGAAACCATGTAAATAGTATGGTTTTCCGATACCCTCCTCGCTCAGGCGGGGCCTCCCTGGAGGGGTGGGAGGGGCACGAAACCATGTAAATAGTATGGTATTCCGATACCCTCCTCGCTCAGGCGGGGCCTCCCTGGAGGGGTGGGAGGGGCACGAAACCATGTAAATAGTATGGTATTCCGATACCCTCCTCGCTCAGGCGGGGCCTCCCTGGAGGGGTGGGAGGGGCACGAAACCATGTAAATAGTATGGTATTCCGATACCCTCCTCGCTCAGGCGGGGCCTCCCTGGAGGGGTGGGAGGGGCACGAAACCATGTAAATAGTATGGTATTCCGATACCCTCCTCGCTCAGGCGGGGCCTCCCTGGAGGGGTGGGAGGGGCACGAAACCATGTAAATAGTATGGTATTCCGATACCCTCCTCGCTCAGGCGGGGCCTCCCTGGAGGGGTGGGAGGGGCACGAAACCATGTAAATAGTATGGTATTCCGATACCCTCCTCGCTCAGGCGGGGCCTCCCTGGAGGGGTGGGAGGGGCACGAAACCATGTAACGATGTAGTATGGTTTTCCGATACCCTCCTCGCTCAGGCGGGGCCTCCCTGGAGGGGTGGGAGGGGCACGAAACCATGTAAATAGTATGGTTTTCCGATACCCTCCTCGCTCAGGCGGGGCCTCCCTGGAGGGGTGGGAGGGGCACGAAACCATGTAAATAGTATGGTATTCCGATACCCTCCTCGCTCAGGCGGGGCCTCCCTGGAGGGGTGGGAGGGGCACGAAACCATGTAAATAGTATGGTTTTCGGATACCCTCCTCGCTCAGGCGGGGTATGGAATGGTATGGTAGGTATGGTATGGTACGGTATGGTATGATATGGTATGGTATGGTACTGGAGGTATGGTATGGTATGGTACGGTGTGGCATTGGTGTGATATGGTATGGTACGGTACGGTATGGTACGTATGGTGTGGTATGGTATGGTATGGTATGGTATGGTATGTGGTAGGAACTATGGTATGGTATGGTGTGTGTGGTAGGAATAACATTGTGCTGTATGGAAGATGGAGCGGGAGGTGGGTGGGAAGAAGAGGTGGGATGTTAAGAACGAAAAAGAATAACAATAATGATACTACTACTAATAATAATAGTAATAATAATAATAATGATAAGAAGAAGAAGAAGAAGAAACATCCACTGCCCCTCAAGGGGGCTATTTTGCTCCCTCACGCCACTGAGACAACACAACACGCCAACGCAGCAGGCTGTCCTGCGAGCGAGGCCGAAACTCCACCGAACCCTGTCGACCTCGAGGCACTGAAAGCAAAAACCTGCAATAGCCCGGGGCCCGGAAGAGCGGGCGAGGAAGGAGGAAGGAGGAGGGGACGAGGAGGAGGAGAGCAAGTGGGCAGCGTGGTTGCCAAAACTGCACGCCCAGGCATACGGCTGCGGGATGCAGCAATTGTGTTGAAACTCTTACTGGCCTCGAGCGGCCAATGCATGATCCAACCCAACATGAGATGCGAGGGAAAGGAGGAGGATGAGGATGAGGAGGAGGAGGAGGAAAAGGAGGAGGAAAGGAGGAAGGGAAGAGAGGGCCTTTGTTTGGCTTTGTAATCTTGTGTGTTACTATACAAGGGATTCCCCCTCCTCGACGCGGAGGTTCGCATACATCGCCCCCGCTCCCGACGCCACGATCCCTGGTTAAATGGTTAATGGGGACCGTGACACGATATCCCCGTAAAAAGCTATGGATATGAGGCCACGACCCCTTGTCGAAAACAATGGATCCGCGCTCACGAGTTTCCAATACGGCCGAGGCAGGCAACGGAGGCCGCCAAGATGGCCCAAGATGCCTCCAGGACGGCCCAAGATGGCATCAAGATGGCCCAAGAGGCCAAGCGGGCCACAAGAGGACCCCAAGCAGGGCGCGAAGAGACCAAACTCATACAAGATATACGTTCCTTACGTGTTTCGAAGACTTGGGCGTCTTGACCTTTCTGGACTTCCTGCAGCTCCAGACGGCCCTGAAGGTCTTCAGGATGGCCCCAAGATGGCCCAAGAACGTCCCCAATGGCGCAATAATCCTCCAAGACGGGCCCAAGAGGAACCCTAACTGGCCCAGGACGGCCCCAAAAGAGCCCAAAACTGGCCCAAGAGGGCGTCCGGAGGGGCCCGAGACAGCCTGAGAGAGACCCTCGACGGCCCAAAGGCGACCCCACGATGATCGCAATAGACCCCCAGACGGCCAGCAGGGCCCCAAGACGGCCCAAGAGAGTCCCAAGACGGCCCCAGAGGGCCCAAGACGGCCCAAGAGGGCCCAAGACGGCCCAAAGTGGCCCAAGGGACCCCCAAGACTGCCCCACAAGAGCCTTGTCAAGGACGGACGAGAAGGAAGAAAGCGACGACGAGAGGAGAGCCTTCGTCACGACGCGGAAGAGCGTGTCACACGTCACGGCTTTCGTCTCCCACGGGGGCTGGGCTGACGGCAAGGTGGCAGGCCCTGCCGCGCGGGCAGCTGGACGAGGGAACAGGGCACCTCCGGCGCGCCGAGCCAGGGGCACCCCTGGGCCGAGGAGCCGGAAGACGCGCCGGGCGTGCCCGGGGACCGAGGGACGCGAGGGCCTACACTTACGTCGGGCCTGATCCCCTACAGGGGGATTTTCGACGAAAAAGTAAAATTATCCCGGCAAAGCAACCTAACAGCGATGTGTAGAAGCATATCTGAAAGCATTCCCCTTACAATTCAGATGAAAATCCAGTTGTCGAATTCTGCTGTTCTCGCAGTCGTAGTCGCATTCGCGATGACAGTCGCAGCGGCAACGGCAGTCGCAGTCACAGCCTCAGCCTCAGCCTGCCTCCTCCTCCTCCTCCTCTTTCTCCTGCTCCTCCTCCTCCTCCTCCTCCTCCTCCTCCTCTTCCTCCTGCTCGTCCTCGTTCTCGTCCTCCTCGTCTTGCTCGTCCTCCTCCTCCTGGTGCTCTCTCCTCCTCCTCCTCCTCCTCCTCCTCCTCCTCCTCCTCCTCCTCCTGGTGGTCCTCGTTCTCCTCCTCCTGGTGCTCTCCCCCCCCCCTCCTCACCTCCCTCGTCCTCCTCCTCCTCGTCCTCCTCCTCCTCTTCCTCCTCCTCCTCCTCCTCCTCCTCCTCCTCCTCCTCCTGGTAGTCCTCCCCCTCCCTCCTCCTCCTCCTCTTCCTCCTGGTCGTCCTCGTTCTCGTCCTCCTCGTCTTGCTCGTCCTCCTCCTCCTGGTGTTCTCTCCTCCTCCTCCTCCTCCTCCTCCTCCTCCTCCTCCTCCTCCTCCTGGTGGTCCTCGTTCTCCTCCTCCTGGTACTCTCCCCCCCCCTCCTCCTCCTCCTCCTCCTCGTCGGTCCTCCTCCTCCTGGTCGGTCGTCCTCCTCCTCCTGCTCGTCCTCCTCCTCCTCCTGCTCGTCCTTCTTCTCCTGCTCCTCCTGCTCCTCGTCCTGCTCCTGCTCGTCCTCGTCCTCCTGGTCTTGCTCGTCCTCCTCCTCGTCGTGCTCTTGCCCCTGCTGAAAATGTGGCCCAGGAATGGGAGTTCTGGGAAGTCGAAGAGCACGAAGTTGCCTACAGTTGGCTACGGGCATTCAAAATGTGGCCCGGGAATGGAGTTCTGGGAACTCGAAGAGCACGAAGTGGCCTACAGTTGGCTCCGGGCATTCAAAATGTGGCCCGGGAATGGAGTTCTGGGAACTCGAAGAGCACGAAGTGGCCTACAGTTGGCTCCGGGCATCCAAAATGTGGCCCGGGAATGGATTGGCCCGGGAATGGAGTTCTGGGAAGAGCACGAAGTGGCCTACAGTTGGCTCCGGGCATCTGTTGGAGTTCATCGAAGTGGCCTACAGTTGGCTCCGGGCATCCAAAATGTGGCCCGGGAATGGAGTTCTGGGAACTCGAAGAGCACGAAGTGTGTGACTGTTGCATCCGGTTATTCTAAAGGTGGCCCGGGAATGGCGTTCTGGGATCTCGAAGAGCACGAAGTGTGTGACTGTTGCATCCGGTTATTCAGAATGAGCCTGGGAATGGAGTTCTGGGAAGTCGAAGAGCACGAAGTGTGTGACTGTTGGTGAAAAACGAGTTCGGCACAGGCCCGCCCGGCAACTCCCAACACCTGCCCGGACCCCCCTGTGGAGTGATCTGTGACCTCTTTTGACACTACTAGAAACCTATCAGTCTTCGCTGTTAGGTAAATACCCAAACAATAATCCAAACATAATCTGGGGACTATGTTTGGAGTATGTTTTGACCTTCTGGGGGTATTTTTAGGGTCTCTTTTATCTTTCGTCGAAAATCCCCCTGTGGGGGGACACGCCCGACATGAGCCTGCACTGCTGCAGAAGCTCATGCCTCGTGCCAGCCCTGGCCGCAGCGCACACCCTCCGGGATCCCCCCGGACTCGCGCCGCGGGCGGCCGGCGGAGCGCTGCTGCCCACGTCTGGGCGGCCTGGGGGTGCTCCTCCGCAGGGCCGCGGGCGGCCAGCTGGCGGGAGGGACCGGAGACACGTCGGCAACACACCACCACCACCAGCCCCGGCCAGGTCCGTCCTGGGCCCTGGACTGGTGCATGGAGTCGGGGCGTCGACCTGAGGAACCCTGCCTGAATAAGGAACGAGGCCCTGCTTTCCACGGGTTGAACTTCGACTTCCCATCGAAGTCCTAAGGACAACCTAGAAAGCAAATCGTGAAGCGATCAAGGAGCACGGAGCCCCTCCCCAACGAGAAAGGTTCCCTCTTCAGCGCCCCGGCTGTGGAGCTCCAGGCCTGGGCCAGGCCGGCCTGGCCAGGGCCGGTGGCGGCGTCTGGTGTGGAGCTCTCCCAAGGAGGAGGAGGAGGAGGAGGAGGAGGAGGAGGAGGAGGAGGAGGAGGAGGAGGAGGAGTTGGGGTCCCAGGGGGGGGCCGCCGCGGCGCCTCTTGGGCTGGCTCCCGGCCTGGGCGCCGCTGCCCGCCCGCTTCAGCGAGTCCGGCTCGGCGCCGCCTCGGCGCCGCGGCGGCGCCCAGCGGGGGGGGGGCGGAGGGGCCGGAGGGGGGATGGCGGCTCGCGGGTCGACGCCGGAAGGATCTGTGGCGACGTTTTTTTCGCTCTCTCTCTCTCTCTCTCTGGGCCTGCGAGGAGGGCGCCCCGTCGCTGCGGCGGGGCTCCGTCGTCGAAGGTCGAGTCCCGACGCAGCCGGGGAGAGGGGCCGAAAAGGGGGGGCGGAGGGGCCGGAGGGGGGATCGCGGCTCGCGGGTCGAAGCTAAGCGGGCCGCGCACAGCTTTGATTACAGAGGAAGGGAAAAGGAAGGCGGGGCCTCACGTCAAGAGGCCAGGAGAGTGGGCCACAGACACCAAGAGAAGTGTGGGGGGACCGAAACAAGCAAACCGCCTGAAGCAACCCCACAATCTGGGCGCGAACAGGCCCGTGAGATACCCCAATGGCCGCTCCCCTCTGGGAATGCTGAAGCCAGCGCCTCGCTGGAGACATCCTCACAATCTGCTCCAAAAGCAAAGGATGTCTGGGGGGCAGAAACAAGCAAACCGTCTGAAATATCCCAACAGACTGGGCGAGAGTTTTGGAATGTCCGCACCCCTGGCGCCCCCCCTCTGGGAGTGTTGAAACCAGCGCCTCGCCTGAGAAATCCTCACAACTTGCTCCGACAATAAAGGAAGTTGGGGGGTAGAAACAAGCAAACTGCTTGAGACGTCCCCACGAACTGGGCGCGAGTTCTGGAATGTGTTCACCCCTGGCGGACCTCCCTTGGGAGTACTGAAACCAACCAACGCCTCGCCTGAGATATCCTCACAATATGGGCGTGTGCGTAAGAGTCTGAATCTGAGCGAGTCACAACGGAGAGGTAATGTGACTGAGTCTGAGTGAATATGAGTTTCAGTGAGTCTGAGTGAGGAAGTGATGTGGCTGAGTCTGCGTGAAGATGAATGAATACGTGATGGACCCCGTGAAGAAGAGTGGGTATGTGTTGGACCCAGTGATGTGTGTGAGTTATCTGCCTATCAGTACCTGAGTGATACGGGAGTGAAGAAGAGGAAGAGGAGAAGGAGGAGGAGGAGGTCTGGGGGCCTCTAAAAAATAACAAACATCGCATGTTAGAACATGGGGGAACACTAACTCCCTCCCTCCTTCCCTCCGTTCCTCCCTCCCTCCTTCGCTGTTGGACGCCTGGAACGGGGAAAGAATGGGCTCCATGCCAAAACAAGTGTCCCCAAGCCCCCTTCCCACCCCCCTCCCCCACCCCCCTCGGGGGCGGCCCAGAGGGGGGGCGTCCCAGAGGGGGGGGGGCGCAAATCGTGGCCGGCGGCACGTGCGCGGCCCAGGGGGGGGAGAAGAAGGGGGGCCGGGGACGTCATGAAATGAGCAGAGGCGCTATGAGATCTGGGGAACTATCGTGGCCCACGCCATGATATCCCCCCCCTCGTCACGGTAGAGGGAAACAATTAGTGAACACCCCCCCCTGCCCCCCAAACTCAAAGTTGGCAAGCGGGGGGGAGACTGCGGTCGAGGTGCAACTCATCAGACCCACCGCCAACTTTGAACACTGGGGGGAGGGGGAGGCGTTCACAGACGAATGTGGCATGAGTGTTCGCCATATTTTTTCTCCCGAGGCCTGCATCACCCCCCTCTTTGCCGCCCCCCCCCCGCCCCCCGCCCGGCGCGCGGGCTGCCGAGGCCCCGGGCCAGGGGCGCGCAGCTGCGCGGGTCTCCTCTGCTCCTCGGGCGGGCGGGCCGCGCGGGGGCACGGCGCGAGGGCGGGCCCGTGCGAGGGGCCCCCGCGGCGGGCCCGGAGGCCCCGCTTGCCCGCCTCCTCGCCTCCCCCCCCCCCCTCGCCCCCTGAGCATGGCGAGGGAATGCTGCGGCGGCTTTCCTAGTCCTCCTCCTCCTCCTCCTCCTCCTCCTCCTCCTCCTCCTCCACCTCTTCCTCCTTTTTCGTCCTCCTCTTCCTCCTGCTCCTGCTCCTGCTCCTGCTCCTGCTCCTGCTCCTGCTCCTGCTCCTCCTCCTGCTCCTCCTGCTCCTCCTGCTCCTCCTCCTCCTCCTCCTCCTCCTCCTCCTCCTCGTTTCCTGTCTCGTGTCGCTTCAGTCATGGGCCCCCGCGCGCACACCCATGCGCGCAAGCCGCAAGAAGATTCCAGCGGAGCGGCCCATGCTGCCACTGCGCCACTTCCGCGTACGTGTTTATGTCGGGAATTCAATTGACGACGTCTGGATCCTCCTCCTGTTTTTGTTTCTGCAGCTCCTCCTCCTCCACCTCCTCCTCCTCCAGGCGTCACGGCAGGCATGGCACGGCGCGCATGCACACCACGGCATGTTCGCCAAGTTCTCGAACCTAGGCACGGCACAGCCGGCACGGCACAGCCGGCACGGCACGCGGGGACGGCACGGTGCCGAGCATGCCTCGAACTCTAGAGTCTAGGAACGGCGTGGCACGGCAACGCGTCACCTTTCGCGTTCTCGAGTCCAGGCACAGCACGCGGCAGGGCACAGCAAGGAGGGCACGGCACGGCACGGCCATCGCGGCACGGCCATCGCGGCACGGCACGCGGTCGCGGCACGGCACACCAACGGCACTTGTTCGCATGCTGGAATCTAGATATACATCAAACCCTTTCACACATGCGCTGTCGAATGAAAACGATTGCATGCGGCGGTGTTGTGGTAACGTCGGCGTTCCCAGGGCTGCTTCCGGGCCCCGGGGACAACAGAAACGGCCCGCGACGCAAAACTGGCCCCAGGGATGGGGGTCGAGAGCTCCAGCTGGCCCACGTCTGGAGTCACTGGCCTGGCGAATGGCCCAACTCTGCGCAGGTGCTTCTGCAGAAACGCGTTGAGCCCCCTCTCGCCATCGCTCGGACGTCTATTCCCCGTGCATTTTTCGAGTTCGTGCGTGCATTTTTCGCTGAATGATCAAAGATGCTCCTCGATGGTCCTCGCCGAGAAAAAATGCACACGTCCGAGCGATGCCAAGCAGGCCCTGTGAGGCCAGAGTCCGCGTGAGGAGTGTGCCGAGATGGGCCGAGGCCCGCTTGGGAGCACGCCCACACAAGCCGCAGGCTGCCTGCCCCGTGGGGACACGGGCCACGAGATCCGCGCGAGGGGGGGGCCCGTGCGAGCGCGCCCAGCGAGGCCGCAGGCGGAGATCTCCGCTCGGCCACGGTCTGCGCGAGGGGTGCGCCGAGAGGGGCGCGGGCCCGCACTCGTCTGCGCCCACGGAGGACCGCGGGTGGCGCTCCGCACGGGGCCCTGCGATCTGCGCGAGGGGTGTACCGAAGTGGGCGAGGGCACGGAGGGGACGCGCGGCGCTGCGAGCCAAAACAGGGACCCAAGAAAACCGGAGGGCGGGGAGCGTCGGGGAACAAAAAGTGGCATAAACATAAAAACTCGGAGGTCCGCGCGGATTTCTCGGATCGGCGCCGGGGCTCCCCGGCGGCGCCTCCGGCGCCGCCCCTGGCGCGCTCCGCGCGCCAGGGAGGGGGTTCCAGCGCCGATCCGAGAAATCCGCGCGGACCCCCGAGTTGTTATGTTTATGTCACTTTTTGTTCCCATAGAACGGCAAACACGGCGTGTTGGAGGTTCACGTTCTCCTCCTCGCGGGAAGTGGCATCTCCTTGGCCTCCCAGCGGGCACTCGTCGCCAGTGGCGGGATCCTCCCGCCTCGTGGTCCTGGCCAGACTGCTGTTCACTAGGAGAGGTCAGGAGGTCGAGCTCGATAAGATCTCTGAAGGCCAGCGAATCCAGAAGGCACATCGGGAGTCCGGGCCACATCGGAGCCGCCTGGAACGTTCTGGGAGGGCTGAGGAAACGACCAACCACAACTGTAGGAGCTGTGTTCCTCACCCCCTGGTCCTGTGCGTCGTTGTATCCGGAGTTTTGTCACATTTTTCTGGTCGGAAGAGGGAGCGTGACCACAAAGCTTCAGCCGATTCGGCCTCGACCGCTGTAATTACGAACCAATGTCGCCAGGCAAACCGGAGCACCACGCGAACCGACCTGCGCTAGCAAGCACATGCGCTGAATTGTGACCCACAGAGTGAGCGAGCGTGCCGCGTGCGAAACGGAAAGAAGAACAGAAAAGGAGAGAGCGACAGGGAGGGGGGACAAAAAAAAAACGAGATGCCTGATGCGGCCGAACGGCGGATGGCACTAGACACGAGCTGTACAAGCACAACTGGGCACGCACGAAACGGGAAGCAGCGCAAAATCCATGAGCCGTTCCGGCAGGGCGGGCAGGGCGTGCGGAAGCCGAGGCTCGCCACGGCCACACAAGGGCGGAGCAGCTGAGGTCTGGTAAGAAGGGTGCAAACCTGACTGAGTGGGATGCCATTCAGGAGCCGTCCATGTGGTGAGCTCCACTGCCAAAAGTACGGCCTGCGCATGCGCATCTGGTAAATTAGCCCGGCGAACGATACAACCATATGCAGCTGTGGGTAACGAAGGTGTGGGCATCGTCTTCGGTGGAGCTCTCTATGGTGCCACGAATCGTGCGGTGTATGTATAGTTGTGTATGTTTGTGTGTCTTGTGTCTTGTGCATTGTGTCTTGTGTCTTGTGTCTTGTGTCTGTGTCTGCGTCTATACCTGTATCTGTGTTTGTGTCTGTGACTGAGTCTGTGTCTGTGTGTGTCTGCGCGTGCGCGTGCGCGTGCGTGCGTGCGTGCGTGCGTGTGTGTCTGTGTGTGTATGTGTGTCAGTGTGTCTGTTTTGTGTGTGTGTCTGTTTTGTGTGTGTGTGCGTGTATGCGTGTGTGTGTGTGTGTGTGTGTGTGTGTGTGTGTGTGTGTGTGTGTGTGTGTGTGTGTGTGTGTGTGTGTGTGTGTGTGTGTGTGTGTGTGTGTGTGTGTGTGTGTGTGTGTGTGTGTGAGTGAGTGTGTGTGTATGTGTCTGCCGAATTGGGCGTCAGGGACGCATGCGAACGGTGCCTTTGGGACCTTCGGTGGAGCTCCCTATGGGGCCACAAAACGTCTGAGGGGTATGCCGAAATCGGTGACGGGGACGCGTGCAAAGGGTGCCACTGGGACCTTTGGAGGAGCTCCCCATAAGGCCACGAAACGCGGGAGGGGTGTGCCGAAATGATTGCCTGGGACGCATGCGGACGGTGCCTCTGGGACCTTCGGTGTAGCTCCGTATGGGACCACGAACGTGTGACAGGTATGCCGAAAATGGGTGGCGGGGACGCATGCGGACGGTGCCATTGGGACCTTTGTTGCAGCTCCCGATGAGTCTACGAAGCGTGTGAGGCGTGTGCCGAAATGAGTGGCGGGGACGCCTGCGGACGGTGCCACTGGGACCTTCGGTGGAGCTTCCCATGGGGCCACGAAGCCTGTGAGGGGTGTGCCGAACGGGGTGGCGGGGACGCATGCGGACGATGCCACTGGGACCTTCGGTGGAGTTCCTGATGGGGCCACAAGACGTGCGGCGGGTATGCCGAAAATTGGTGGCGTGGACGTATGCGGACGTTGCCACTGGGACTTCCGGTGGGGCTCCGTATGGGGCCCCGAAACGTGAGGGGTGTGCCGACTTGGGCGGCGGGAGTGCATCTGAGAGGTGCCACTGGCACCTTCGATGGAGCTCCCCATGGGGCCACGAAGCGAGTGACGGGTGTGCTGGAAAAGGGCGACGGGGACGCATGCGGACGGTGCCTTTGGGACCTTCGGTGGAGCTTCCTATGGGGCCACGAAGCGTGTGAGGGGTGTGCCGAAGTGGGTGGTGGGGACGCACGCGGACGGTGCCACTGGGACCTTCGGTGGAGCTCCCCATGTGGCCACGAAACGTGGGGGGGGGAGCCGAAATGATTGCGTGGGACGCATGCGGACGGTGCCACTGAAACATTCGGTGGAGCTCCCCATGGGGCCACGAAGCCTACGACGGGTGCGCCGAAATCAATGGCGGGGACGCATGCGAACGATGTCACTGGGACCTTCGATTGAGCACCGTATGGGGCCACGATCCTCGTGAGGGGTGTGCCGAGGTGGGTGGCGGGGACGCGGCCTGTGGGGCCACGAAACGTGCGAACGGTGTGCCGAAACAGGTGGCGGGGACGCATGCGGGCGGTGCCACCAAGACTTTCGGTGGAACACCCTATGTGGCCACGATCCTGGTGAGGGGTGTGCCGGAACAGAATCATGCGGGGGGGGACGCAGGGGTGGAAGGAGGGATGAGCGGGAAGAGGAGGTGAGGGACGCGGGGCGCTCTCTTCAAAACAAAGACCCAACACCTCAAATTGGTCGGGAACACGCTATACATACATACATGCATACATACATACATACATGCATGCATGCATGCATACATACATACATGAATGCATACATACATGCATAACTACATACATACATAGCTATATATATACCTACATCCATACATACACACATACATACATACATACATACATACATACATACATACATACATACATACATGCATACATGCATGCATGCATGCATACATACATACATGCATACATGCCTGCATGCATACACACATCCACACATACATACATACATGCATGCATACATACGTACGTACGTACGTACATGCATCCATACATACATACATACATACATACATACAAACATACATACATATATACATACATACATGCATACATACATACACACATACATCCATACATACATACATACATACATACATACATACATACATACATACATACACACACATACATGCATACATACATACATCCATGCATACAAACATAC